TACAATCAATCAACAAGTACATGAAAAAATGCTCACCATCTCTAGCAGTCAGAGAAATGCAAATCAAAACCACCCTAAGATACCATCTCACTCCAATAAGATTGTCAGCCACTATGATGTCAAACAACAACAAGTGCTGGCAAGGAGGTGGGGAAAAGGGTACTCTTGTACATTGCTGGTAGGACTGAAAATTGGTGCAGCCAATTTGGAAAGCAGTATGGAGATTCCTTGGAAAGCTGGGAATGGAACCACCATTTGACCCTGCTATTGCCCTTCTTGGACTATTCCCTGAAGACCTTAAAAGAGCATGCTATAGGGATACTGCCACATCGATGTTTATAGCAGCACAATTCACAATAGCTAGACTGTGGAACCAACCCCAGATGCCCTTCAATAGATGAATGGATAAAAAAAATGTGGCATTTATACATCATGAAATATTATGCAGAACTAAAAAATGACAAAATCATGGAATTTGCAGGGAAATGGATGGCACTAGAGCAGATTATGCTTAGTGAAGCTAGCCACTCCCTAAAAAACAAATACCAAATGTCTTCTTTGATATATTGAGAGCAACTATTAACAGAGCAGGGAGTAAGAGCAGGAAGAAAAGATTAACATGAATAATAATTTTTAAAAGGAAAAGAAAATGTAGAAAGGTACTTAGACCTCTTACTTTCTAAGTACAAAATCCCCTACCCAATTCAAGGCATCTTAATCTCCATCAAGAACAACAACAAAATAAGTTTTGTAGTGCTGTTAAATCTATCATTATAAATACAACTGGTGCAAATTGGTCAAATGGAGTCAACAGACACATAAGCATTTGAGGAACATTCCATATCCAAATGAAAATAGTCATATGAACACATGAACCTGGCTTGATTCAGGTTCTCGTGAATATAATTTTCATTCAACTCTCATTTTGTAAGTCAATAAGTATATATTACCATATTATTCTCTCATAAGTAGAATTCATTGTAAGTAGACATCTCAAAAATTAGATAATTTAAATAAATTGGTAAGATAAAATTCAGAATGTCTAAAATTAGCCAAGAGCAGTGGCTCACATCTGTAATCCCAGTGGCTCCAGAAAATGAGGCAGGAGGTTTTGAGTTCAAAATCAGCCATAGCAAAATCAAGACACTAAGCAATTCAGGGAGATGCTGTCTCAAATAAGAAAGTAGGGCTGGAGATGTGGCTCAGTGGTCAAGTGCCATTAAGTTCACTCCCTGGTACCCCTCTCCAATAAATAAATAAGTTAATAAAATATCTAAAATTGTTAACATTTTTTCCCAGATTGCTGGCCATTCAGGATTATATTTATCTCTGTTAGGTGTTTAAAATGCAATGTCCATTGCTTTCTCTTTTAAATATAAACTTTTAGGTTTGACAAAGAAATAATTTGTTAACTATGCTGGTCTGATACCTTGGTTTTCATAGTAATTTAAAAATGGGCAAATTAGGTAAATATATGAAAGTAAAAGTTTATAAATGGGAACGAAACATCTGAATCATTTATATATTACAACAATGACAGATCAATTGCTAAATGTAAATTCAAGTAGTCTTAGCTTCATGATAATAATGTCTATTAAATGTATTTTTATAAAATATTGATAGATAGGAAAACAACTTACATTTGCTCTTCCCTGGATATTTACTTAAAAATAAAGCTTTACTGAGTACAGAGGCATCTGCCTGTAATACAAGTGGCTATGGAAGCTGAGGCAGAAGGATTGCAAGTTCAAAGCCAGCCTTAGCAATTTAGCAAGAACCTAAACAACTTACTGAGACCTGTCTCTAAATAAAATAAAAAAGGGCTGGGATGTGTGGATAGTGGTTAAGTGTCCCTAATTTCAATAAAAAATGGCTTTTAAGAGTTAATGTTTGAACTAACATCTGCAATTCTATACAGAAAGAAAGACAAAGGGAGAAAGACCTTAATCCTTAACATGCATTTTGATGAAAATATTGAAAAATGTGGTATTATATCTTATTAAAAAGTAGGGATTTCTCTAAATTTTAAAGATTTATATGGTTTGTTTCAACCTGTAAATTTAAATTTAAGAGAGGAAAAAAAGGCAGAACAAACCTTTTCTCTTATTTCAAACAAAATGTTGAGGGGAAAAATACAAAGAAAGTTAAAAGGATGAGGATATATCTTTTAGAAATTGTTTATTAATGAGGAAAGATTTTTGTATATAAGTTATGATGTTTGCCTTAAACTGGATTGTTTCAAAATGGGAAGAGAAATAAGCAAAAAGCTCAAAAGCTAAAGGTTTAAACAAGTTGCAGAGAGTCTAAGCAGGTTGCAGGTTTGTGAAGGACAAATGTCCTAAAGGGAAATGTATGTGTAATTATGCTGGCTATAATTAAGAGGAATTATTTGCAGTGTTTTCAAAAATGATAATTTAATCCTCTGGATATAAAAACAAAATCTAGGTTTCTATCTGTCTATTTTTGTTTGTTTGTTTGTTTCATTTTGTTTTGTTCTTTTACCAGGGTTTTTGATCTCAGGTGCACTTAAGCACTGAGCCACATGCCTAGCCCATATTAACCTTCATGCTATATAAAGAACTCAAAAAAACTTAACACCAAAAAACAAATAACCCCATCAACAAATCGTCTAAGGAACTGAATAGACATTTCATAGAAGAAATACAATTGATCAGCAAATATATGCAAAAATGTTCAATATTTCTAGCAATTAGAGCAATGAAAATCAATACTATTCTAAGATTTCATCTCATTCCAGTGAGAATGGCAATTATGAAGGACACAAGCAACAATAAATGTTGGCAAGGATGTGGAGGAAAAGGTACACATTGAATATGGGACCGCAAATTGGTGCATCCATTGTGGAAAGCCAAATAGATATTCCTCAGAAAACGTAGAATGCAATCATTATTTGACCCAGCAATT